GGGAGTCGCAGGCCCAGTCCTCCCCGGGCCCCAGAACCAGTCCCGCGGGAGCAAACGGAAGCTCACTCACTAGTGGGAGCTCTGCCAGAAGTTCCCTGCCATGGAATACTGCGGGCCCTGATACAAAAGCACCAGCCAGCAGAGCGGCCCACGGAGCCACCATAGACCCAGTCCAGCCGGGCGCGCTCCTCAACCAGGCTGGCTGGGCTGAGCTCCGCAGCGACCGCCGCCGGAGGAAGAGAACAGCGCCGTCGTCGCCTAGACGCCGGTCCGCAACACGGAATTGCGTACACCGGTTCCGGATGACAAAAGTTCCGGCCCGCCTTAGCGCCGGAGAAAGCGAGCAGACAGACACGAGAGAGGCCGGAGGCCGGAGACCGGAACTAGAGCAAGCAGAGGCGGAAGCTCGCGGTGGAGAGCCGCTCTCCCGAGAGCTCCGCCCTAGAGCAGGCACCTTCTGGATTTCTGCTGCTTTGCAGTTTTTCTTCTGGATCCGTCTAGGCATCTTGCTAACCCACCTAGAATAGTACTGTGGCATTGTAAGAAAGCGTAACATATGTGTGATTGCTCGTTTTCCTAGCATTGGAAGGAGAAATAGATTTAAGCGCTCTTAGTGACTTCTGCCGGAGCTGAGCCTAACGAGTTAATGGGTTTTCGTGTGGACATTTTAGAATAGCAGCAATCTTTTAATGTCAGAGCCATCGTTTGTCCACCTGAAAACATATGGGCGTATGAATACACATCTAGCCACACGGATGCACATGCATGCCCCAAAATTGAAATACTACAGAAATGCAATAATTTAGTTTTACAGAACGAGCAATAGCGAGTTTCTATTATTGTAACATGCACTCAGTACCTCACTTCAGTGGCTGAGGCAGGGACAGTAGGAATTTCAGGTCAGTCCTTGTTTCCTGCCTCCAGAATGCCAGGATTAAAGGCGTGTGCCACCATGCCGGGGCCTACTCTTAGCTTCTATTACATAAGAAAGCCTAAATTACAGTACAGATGAAAAAGAACTTGGTTTTAGTTAACACGGTGCTGTCTTGATATGAGAAAGAACTTCTCTGTCTGACCACTAGCTCCTGATACATAAAACAGTTATCTCTGCAGTGACCGATGATTGTGTTGATTTACAGTACTAGTTCATACAGTTTGGGGGGAATTTCAGGGTTCACTTTTTGGATTCAGTTAGTTGGGAATGGCTGTTGAAGAACAAAATATGTATCAATAAAAAATGTTAGGAGAGGCTAGACAGATGGCTCAGAAGTTGAGTGTGTTTGTGGCTCTGTCAGAAGACTAGAGTTAGTTCCCAGCACACACATCAGGTGGCTTATAACCACCTGCAGCTCTGGCCAGCCCCAGGGGATCAACAATTTCTAGCCGCCATGCCCAGGGGATCAACAATTTCTAGCCGCCATGGGTAGCTGCATGTACTGTGCATGTCTACACACACACACACACACACACACACACACACCTTTAAATTTTATTTTTAATTGAAATTTAATTATATTACATCATTTCTCTCCTTCCTCTTCCCCCTCCTTGAGTGGATTGACAGTCTGGTTAGTTCCGACCCCTATGTAGTATGGGGGTCAGGGGTCTAAGCATAACCAGCAATCCTGGCCAGTTTCTAACTGGGATTAACTTGAGAGGTGGGACTCTGGCCCAGGTATGTTAAATGCTTTTGAAGGGGAGGGCTGGTTGGAGCCTTAGCCCACGAAGGAGATCTTTGTTGAGACCCAAAGTTCTGGGAGCCTGGGGGGCGGGCAGTTTTTTTCTGGATAGTAATTCTATATCCAGAGTCCTTTCCTGTGGCATAGAGTCATCAGGTTCTCCCTATTTCCCAAAGCCGGAATATTTAAGGAATTCTTTAGACCTTTATCTTATGGCCATTAGATTACATTTTCCTATTGTGCATTCCTTGGAGGGGGGCGTCGTGTGTGTGTGTGTGTGTGTGTGTGTGTGTGTGTGTGTGTGTGCGTGAGTGTGTATTCGCACAGTCTGAGTGTGTGTGTGTGTGTGTGTGTGTGGTCTTGTTTATCGGTTTGTTTTCAGGAAGCCTCTGTTTTACAATCCCAATTATTTATTTATTTTTATATATTTGAATTACAAACAAGATTGAATTA